AATGGTGTGAATACTTTTGCATTGCACTGTATTTCAAACAACACATGCATCAGTCCTGCCTTCTACCGACATGGGGACGTGGAACTGTACCTGACAACTGATGGATAAATATAGCATTTCGCAAAAAGGAAATCCAAGTCAAATAATGAAATAAAAGATCTTATCCAGGATTAAACGTCTTCTCTAGAACAGATGCTAAACAAATGGGACCCTATTTCCCCATTCAAAGTAATGCAACACTGACAAAGTGAGATTTATTTTCACTTGGTAAATACAGTAAATAGGAAATCAGTAAATTACAAATACAAAAAAACAACAGTCCCTTACAGTAAGTCTTACATTAAGACTGGTCAAATAATACTGAAGTTTACTATTCCCATTCTGTGAAGGAGGAAGCTCTTTCTCATTGTACAAATTACTTTCGTGTCTTCTCTTCTCTACCATCATCTATACATCATCTCCCTGCATGCCTTTTTATCCTGTCTCGGGGACTGCTTTGGCTCATTCCCCATGAAGGATGACTTAATGATTTAATTGCATTTGATTTAGTCCTGGTTAAACAATAGTACATGTTTTCTGCCTGTTTTAAGGACTTATAGACTACAATGCTTTTATTTTAAAATGTAAACATTTGTACAGTGTATACCTCCAGCATTGAACTGTATTATTATCATCATAATTCATATGTAATCTAAGGGTTGTTTTACAAAATCTACACAGATGAATGATCATATTAACAATCACCTATTACAAGGTAGTAGTAAAAATATAATTGGATTGATCTGACATTTTTTTCCCACATTACATACAGTATAAGTATATGGCATTATTTGTGTTTGTTATTATAAGTGGCATCAGTGTTACCAGCTTGTAGGCTGATCTTGTCAATCCTCAGAAACAAAGCTATACAATACTTTGTCCTGGATTCTATTGAGTTGAGAGACCGCCCTGGAAATCCAGGTTGTAAGTGCTGTAGGTTTCACTTTTTCCTCTGGATGCCCCGACATGAAGACCAGAGATACTGCTCTTTAGGAGGTGTTGGCCTTCTGGTGAATCGTCAAGCCAAGTTTTTGCTTACATGGCCATTAAAAACCATGGCACATCTAAAAACCCTAATGTCCTGGTTAAATTCTCCTGGTCTTGCATAATCTGTTCTCCCTTAATTAAATTAAGTGTTTTCTTAATTATCCATGTATATTTCATATAAATATAAAAATGAGGAATTATACATCACATTGCACGGCTTAACTTAACTGAGTAACTGATTTTTGGGACTGTACTGTACTGTAAGTATACTCCCTAAATGTGCAACAGTGAAAATAGATTTAAGTTCTGTCAAGCAGATAAAATATAATTTATTAATTCAAATAGTTCATGTGGAAAATGGCAATTACAACTAAGGAAGCTTGGAAAGACAAAAACCATTGACATTGACTGGAAACTGTGTGCAACAGACATCTTGACTTGAGAAGAATTCAACAGATGGTCAACAGTGAGCACTGCAGAGAACAGTGGTAAAATAGATACAGAAGTCGTGGGGAGCCAAGAATCATTTAGATGGGCCAGGCTTCTCCTGGTGATAACATCAGGAGTAGGTGTACTAAATGCAGGAGGGCTACACATTAATGGATGTAGATTCAGCAGGAAAATGGCCAAATAAACTGCCTGTAACTTGTCAAACATATTTTGGGATTTACTAGCTGTATATTTAAGTATTTGGGTACAGATGATATCTAAAAAGAAGCTCTTTATTGTCAAGATTCAAACCAAACTTTGTGTAGTATATCATCACATTACTTTGGAAAACAATTCAAGGTATTTTTACATTTTATTTAGAGCTTTATCATTTAATAATTAGAACTGTTCTCGCATAAAATAAAAGTATGAAAACAGTGCACACAAATTTGTTATCATGAGTCTCCAACTCTTTATCAACTTAAGAACACTTTAAAGGGGAAAATGCTACCAGGTTCTGCTATCATTAACATACCTATCTTTTGGAATCACTGCATGTTGTTAAAATGGATGACTGATTTGTTTCAAATAATACTTCCAGTGGGGTCAAAAAAGCTACAGCATAATAATGACGGATCCTGTGAAAGAATGTGTGTGTTAGTGTCATTAGCATTGATGGAGGATTTTTTTACTTCCTAAATTTCAGTTTAATTTCTTGTTGACTTTAGGGACATGTTCTTTACTTTTCAAAATTCGAAACTCAATCTGTATCAACCCATTACTGAACTGTAGCTTTAAAGGATAGTTTCAGTAATGCTTCCCTGGGAGTACTTTAGTCAAATTATATTTTGAACAACGGGTTTGTATTGTGTAATTTAAAGCAGTTCTTAGAAGATAATGCAAATTTATCCAAACATCTACCTTTCATATTGCTGTTATGATTCATAAGAAACCACTCCAAGTGAGTGTCTATCTTTTAGTGTTAAGGATACATTAATGATCTTTTACAGTATAAACAGAAGACTTAAGTCAATCTTTTTGAGTTAGGCTGTATAATCCAAATATTGCCTGTTCAAAATAGGAATTTACTATTAGCCATGATTGGATTCCACAAATTGAAAGCAAACAGTAATCTGCTAAATTTCCACTGGCTTCAATTGCCAGATCTACAGTACATACAACATTGATCCTGTGGTGATGATGCTTCTGAACGGTCAGTGAGATATGCATCACTCTTTTGATCTTAACTCTCCTGTAGGTATTGTGTGAAAAAGGTCAGATTGCTCCGGTAGGACACAATCTGACGAAAGCATGAACAATTCTCATCAGCTGGTGTGAGGTTCACCACAGTTGACTAAAGATGTACTATTTTAAATTATGAGATATGTAATGAAAAAAAAATATATATAATAATTAAAAAAAACTCTACTGCCATACATTTCTGATATAAGGGAATGATACAGATGTCACATGAGCATCTTTGGAAACCCATCGGTTGTCAAGCTATCTACCCCATTTTACAATGCAAGATTGTAAAGCTATTTGCAAAGAATTAGTATAAGTCTAAGGAATGACACCAGCCTGACTGACAGCACCAGGAAACCTGGAATACTTAGGTCAGCTTTACATAAGGTGCAACAGTCATGGACATACTGTACTACTGTACAAGATGCAGTACCATGTATTTTGAATTTCAGAAGGCTTTTGAAAGTACCCCTTGAAAGATTAATTCTCAAATTACAGGTAGGCACTGAGGAAATTGTGTGCTTGGATTGAGAATTGAAAACACTGTAGAAGCAATACATTGCATTTCAAAAGATCTAAATAAATTCCAAGACTGAAAAACAACACCTGGCATAGGCTTGTATACTGTACGTGCAGAGTATTACATGCATGTAGCAAAAATGTAAACTAGAAATACAAAATGAGAAATGCTGAGATAGAAGAGGTTACTTATGAAAAAGACTTAAGTGTTCATGTTGGCCATTTACATATTTTAGACAGTGTGAAAAGCAAAAATAAACTAAAATTGGGAGGATGTACTGTATAGGTAGAAGTGTAAAATTAAAATTGGGGATGTTATGTAAAAATTGTACAGCGTCATACAACACTTAGAACATTATGTAAAATCTTGATAATCAAAAAGATATTACTGTTCTGGAATTAGTACAAAGAGCAACCAGATACATTACTGGTCTTAAAGGAGTGCCCTGCACTGACAGGCTAAAAGAACTGAATATTTTAATTTCGAACAGAGAGGACTACAAGAAGACCTTATCCAAGTATTTCTCAAAGGTATTGACAAAGTCAACCCAGTGGATATTCATAATCAACTGTGGAACACAAACCAATGGGCACAAATGGGTAGTATTTGTAAGTGCATTGTCAAACACATAGAATTTAGGGATTTACTAGCTGTATACTTAGTTATTTGGGTTCAGATGATATCTTAGAAGGACTTTATTAGAAATAAACTAAACGTTTTATAGTACATTGTCCCATTATTTTTAGGAAGCAATTTAGGGAATTTTTACATTTTAAAAATTCCCTAAATCTTTAAAAGATTCTCACTCCAAATAGATTCTCACTCCAAATACTGTACATGCCATGAATATTTGGTATGGCCACTGCCTTCAATTTAAGAATTTAATTGAGGAACACTTAACATAAACTTTCTAAAAATCTAAATTTACTGTGTCATGTGCTCTGTATCAAATACAGCTGTTAGGTTGTTTTAAAATAATCATTTTCTAGAGACTTTTGTTTCTTGGAATCCTATTTAGATTAACATTACAATCCATACAGGCAGTTCACTGGTTTATTGTTTACTTTTTTTGCAGTGGTAACATGTAGAGAATATAATAAATCTAATATAACATAAACCATTATATAAATACCAAGATACAGTACAGTATGTTATGTGTTCAGCCTGAAGTGAAATGAAACGTAAACCAGGTTTCTGGTTTGCAAAATGGCAAGCACAAATTTCAAAAGATTTTTTTTGCTGAGCCAGGGATTAAGACACTGTCCACTTACAGAATCACAGTATACACTAGTCATCTGCATACTGTAGTTTGAGCTGTTATGTTGAGATTGTTGACAGTAAATTAATGAATATCTTAAGATAGTGATTTCAAAAGACAAGACAAATAATACAGGCAAGAGTGAACATCCCTAATAAAACTATTCTAAGGTATTCAGAAATTGGATTCTGGGAAAAGCAGTATATTTTTTTATGTAATAAATTGTACTATTTATACTCATGCATGCTTAATCTTTCATAATTCAAATACTTGTTTTGTTCTGTATCATTATAGCCATCACTGTTATTAAAACTTTCAAATGTTAATGAGCCAAATTAAATTGATTATTTTCTCATTTCACATATTTAACACATTTGGTCCTAACTATTTTGCTTGTTTAGAATATTAGAACGTTTATATCACAGTGGTTTTTAACCTTAAAGTGTAATTAAACATATTGAAATTAATATTTTTTATTAAATTTTGCTTTCATTTTCTTTTTAATGCTGCTTCCATGTATAGGAGGTTGAGGTTTGTATATATACAGTATATATTTTTTCAAATTTTATTCTTAATTTTAAAGTGTTTGTTCTTTTATAACCCAAATGCATTTTTTTTTTCAGGAACCTGGGACATGGAATCCTGGAAAACCTTTTGATCAAGGTATAATTGTTTTAATGACAATTCACTTAGTTTCTGTAGAACGTTTTTACTTGTTCTTCACTAAAATAACAAGTCACTTGTTAAAATCTTGTTGTAAAATTAAGAAGCTAAATGTGACATTTTCTACAATTAAAAAGGAGAGACTCACAGTAAACACACTAGTAGGTTAATTGGCTTCTGGCAAAACTGACCCCAGTATGTGTGGATGTTAAAGTTTGTGTGTTGGACTGACATCTTATCCAACTTGCGCCCACTGCTTGTGCCCCAGTTCTCCCACAACCCTGTATTGGATAAAGTGGTTAGAAAAGGGATGGATAAGTCTATATAATGCCATTCACTGTAATTACAGTAAAATTTGTACTACCACTTTATGTCCTAGTAATATGTGTGCAAAAGTACAATTGTTTATCTTAATATACAGTATATTTGCGTTATGAATTATGCACCAGTACAGCATTAGTTCAGTGGCAATGCTCTATAATGACTACATATACTGTATACTATACACACTGGATTTAAGAGCAGCACATACTCCTCTATAAAGAAATTTCAAGGGATGTTTGGAAAGGAACTAGCTTTATTAAACGTGATGCATTTGCACTCCTATTATTAGTGGACATTACTTTCTAAGCCAAAAGGTTTCGTGTGCAAAGTGTGTCCAAGAAAAGAAGAGTAGTTACATTCCTCACAGAAGGTGACAAGGCTCTAAGCTTTCTTACAAGATTGAATTTTTTTTACAAGGATGACTGCATCAGACTGTTTTGTAGAAGGGTGTGAAAAAGTATAAAGAGGGACAAACCATCCTTATTGATGCTTCAAGTTCTGGTAAACCAAGTATAGATGTGAATGGCATTGAGAAAGATGATCTGGGAATATTGCAGAAATTAGAACATACAATACTAAAACCATCCATGAGTACTTACAATATTAGATTTGTGGATGTGAAGTTAATGTGACAGATCAGATGTCTCCAAGTCACCAAAGATTTGGTGACACACTTTGTGTGTCCTGGATAAATTCTACTCTAGGTTTGTTTAATCTGGCCTACTTCCTTAATTCAATTTCTCACTTTTCTTTCATGCTTCACCAAGGAGTAGTGATAATTATTATTACTACAGTATATCTGAATTTAACCAGTAGGTTTTCATTTAGAAGTTCTAAACCCATTCCATTTCCTTTCTAGCAATATTCTGTAGAATAGTAGTAGTAATCTGAATTTTAAGGTAACCTTTTGGAACTTTTTCAGCACAAATATTGATTCAGGAATTGCTCACTTTCATGGAGCACCTTTAAAGGTATAATTCAAACTTTTAACATAGCATGCACTATACTGTATGCTGAACCCCTATCCTCATATGCTGAAACGGTATAGATTACTGAAATCACCCTTTACAGATAACATTCTGAAATCTGTAATGGATCGATTTTCACAGAAGACAAAAGCAAAAGGAAAGAAAAGAAGAAAAAAAGAAAAACTCACAAGAAAAGCAATGAGTGGAACATTCATAAATATGACCATTTTTACTTTAAAATTGTTATAGAAACATGCTAATACATAGTATCAGTTACATTTCTGTAATATTTTAATGTTACTTATCTGTAAAGGCATTGACTTTGAATAATCGTTCATAATTTAAATATAATGTTTTTATAAAATAGCATTTTGAAGATAGTTATTTGGAAAAAAAATGTTTCCTGGTGTTATTGAACAATAGCTTGGGTGGAGATCTGATTCTAGTGTCGCACTTCTTCTTCCCCACAAATAAAAACTCACTGGCTGAGCACAGCTACCTAGCTGAACACTGTGCAGCTCCATATCCCATTCTGCATTTGGGGGTTGCTGGGACCTTACTGTCATCACTTACATCTAGGATCTGAGCCGCTCTCGCCTCACCAGCTTCAGAGCTCCACCGAAAACAGGTGGCTCTGTGCCCATCTTGCCATCTGCATTTTTCTCTCTGGTCTCCTGATACCACGAAGCCTCACAAAAATTGAGCAATTGTGGCTGCTGTCTCCGCAGTGGTTTTGTTCCCTTCTGCGTCTCTTTTCCTAATCAAGCCCGCTCCGTTCCCCTCCCTTCCATTCTCTTTCCGTTTGTGATCGAATTTCCAACCGCACCTATGGCCCAAGCCTGTACAAGTTCTTTTGTCTCTTCTCTCTTCCCAATCCTTCTTTTCGCCGTCTACTGCAGGAGCCCCCAATTGCTAACTCCCACCTGGTCCTGGATCCGGGCTTCCTCTTTCACCCTCCTGCTGTCCCTGACCAGGCCTAGGGAGCTACAGCCATGAGTTCCTGTCTCCAATTTACACTTCCTTTGGGGTGGCGTTCAACTGGCCAGTATTGGCCTCTAGCTCTTCCCCCTCCCAAAGCTTCCAGCCACATATGGTAGCTGGTATTCCTTCTCATTTTCGGGGATTCAACTCAGAAAATGTTATCATCTGGCTAACTTTTTTCTAGTGGCAGCTCTCTTCTATGGTCTGCGTCAGCCTACTCTTGGGGTCGCCAAGCATCTTCTTCTGCCCACCACTTTGCTCTAATCCAAACGACTCACTAGTGCTGTCACCTGCTTGCTGCTTCACGTCTTGTCATCCTCAGCTCATGCTTCTCACTTCTCGGGCACTGCATCCGAATCTGCTAGCTCAGATAAGTGCAAACCTGCATCGTGCACATTTCTGTGTGCTACACACACATTCTGCTTGGTTCTAGTCAAACCACAGTCGATCCAAACTCTTAGCTCGGTCTTGGAAATCTGCGGCTGTGTTTTGGGGGATTCTTCTGGGGAGAATGAGGCAGCTGTGATCTTGGCCTAGTGTCATCATGTCTTCAGCCAAGCAAGTGAAGTACTAAGCATGCTATCTGTTTATTTGTAAGCTCATTTTTCAGCATTACTGTAGAATTTGACCAAACATCTTCTTACAACTTGTTTTTCTTTCTGCTTGTCATGTTTAAATAAAAAATGCAGCAGATTATAATACTACTACTACTAATAGTATCTTTAGACTGTGACCAGAGTGTGTATTCTTCAGATAACAAAAGTTGCTCTGAGTATAATAGGTAGACAGGAAGCACCATTCAGAGGGAAAAAATACACACACCCCTCTGTGACCTATGTTAGACACCTAGGGAAAACATAAAAGTTAGCACATACTGTACGCTGTTTTTTCTATGCTTTTGGCCTTTTTTTACCATATCATTTATTTTTGTGCTTCATGCTTCTTTCACAAATGTGAAGCCTGTCATGTAATGTTTATTTTGTATGACAGGTGATTTGAGTATATAGATAATGATATTTCAGTCTGTTAGTGCATGCTTGTTAAATAAAGATATTAAATGTCATGTTATACACAGCCGTTATACCTAGCAGAAAAATATAAAAATACATATTGCATGATGCCTCCTTTCACCCCGATTAGAATTTAAACAAAGGCAAAAAGTAACAGTAGTGGTTAATGGAGGGTGTTGGATTAAAATCCCTGGCGGGATGTTGTTGTACCCTTGAGCAAGGTACTTCACTTTTATTGTTGCCGTAAATGCTGTGCAATGAGTACTCTCCAAGTCTTCATTGTAAATGAGATTGTGTTCTCCGTTAACTTATCTGATTAAATTCAGGATTCAATAAAAAAAAGGTTCATTTTTGATATCATATAATTCTAGCTATTTAGCCACTTCAGCTAAAATTTCTATATTTTGTTGATGGCTGTACTTGTGTGGACAATGTGTGTGCAGGGAAGTGTGTTCAGTTTGCTTCTGTGCTCCTATTAGAGATGCAGCACGTTGCCCAGCCATGTACTGTAGTTGGAGCCGATACCTTGGCTCTCTTCAGGAAACAGATGAATGAGGTCTGGATCAATAAGGTACTAACATCCAGATGGGCTGAATGGCCTTTTTATGTTCCTATGTGGTAAACAGAACCTTTGCTCTTTCTGAATAATATAATAAAAAAGAGAACAATAAAAGTGAAAAAAATGGGTTTATACACTGCTCCACCCTGTCGTCCAGTGTCTGAACTCAAGTAGACTACAACAAACTGAGTCCCAGGATGGGTTTGAACTCAGATTTAAATGTCTAGGATTACAAGATGTGCATACTACCACTACTGCTACTGTTCTTAAGTAGCAGTGGTATTTTTTTGATCAAATCTGAAAATGCAAGTTATTAAAACATTCTTAGGGAATTTATTTAATATCATTTTGATAATTTAATCAGACTTTTCTGTATATGTAACTTGGTGTTATTCCAAGTTTTCCTGAGGTTTCTACAGCTAAACCCTAGTGAAGATTTAAAACTGTATCCCAGAGTTCCTTTGAACTGTACTGTAGGTGATCCTTCTCATTGCCCTTCTTTGTCTTAAGAATTAGATTTTTTGCCAGATTTGGTTTGTATGTTTTTTAAATGCCAGGGATTTTACAAAGTTGCAGCTTTAGTACAGTAATGAGTTTGGTAATACTGCCATCTGAATAGGTCATGGCAAGTGTTCTTGTAATATTGAGATTGGGGAGAGTAGAGCATTTGACACTGTAAGCCATTGTTTATAATATATGGGACTATAGTTTATGGGACTATGTTAATGTGTTCTGTCTTTCATTTTGAGTATTTTTTAGATCAGGATACTTCTTCTTCATATGAAATTATTGTGGTGTTCCATGGACATTTAACCTTGGCCCATTTTTTATTTCTTAGTATAGATAGATAATACTTTATTAATCCCGTAGGGAAATTGATGAAATGTTTATGTTTACTCTGTTTATGTTTACTCTGTATATGTTTACTCTAGTTGGTATTGTTCCTATACACGCAGTAGGTATTTACAGCCACTCCCAGGATTATGTAGTATGTTTGTGAATATTCAGTGACATGATCTTTTTTCCAGATAATATAACTTTAACAGATCCCTCTCCTTTGACCTGTTTAGTTTGTTGAATTAAGGTGTAGATGGGAAATGCTACTAATATATGACATTTTTCCATTCTGAAATGTCGATAAAATTATACATTCCCTTA